ATTTTAATATAATTATATTATTAAGTATATTAATATACTTTCTCTTTAGTGATGTCGCTTGAAATGATAAAGAAAATCAATTTAAGACTAACTAATCTTCCTCGCTATTATTTCTCTTTTATCATTTTTCTATTGAATTTTTATAAACGAGAGTGGGTAAAACAAAATGACAATCCTTTCTCAAGCTAACATCGTTCTCGTTTATCCCACGTAACGTACACGTCCCGAACTCGTTGCACCGATGATAAACGCGCACTAAAACCTTATCCTATTCTCTCTCTCTCTCTCTCTCTCTCTCTCTTTTCCTGGGAAAGCGAAATTACGCGGAGGTACGACAGCGATAGCTCGCCTCGTTAGACACAATACGAGTCTATCTTCCTGTTTCTCTTCCTTCTCTACCCACAAATGTCTATGTATATGTACCTAGTATATACCTGAGAATCGCGTTTATAAAGGTCATAGCGCGTTTCTCGGCACGATATGACATAGGACTTTGACTTAAGAGAAACACGTCTCTTTTGTCTTTGTATATATATATATATGTATATATATGTATATATATATATGTGTGTATTATGTGCGTATGAGTAGTATATGTATATATATATGTATATATTTGTATATACGTGAAAATAGCAAAGCTCTTAAACAGTCACGACATCCTATGAGAAACAAACGCGTAAGCTCGTTCGTAGTTGGCCGGTAATAGTCAGTATTTAGTCGTTTAGTAATTAGTATATCCCATAGCTAATACGTTCTCAGTTTATACACGGTAGTCACTTGTAAAAGGGTTAATCTACGATAGAAATGTTCATCCTCAAATCTTATTATCTTAATAGATGATTACGATAATTAGAAAGTATACTTTGAATTTGTAATATATTGAGAATTAAATGAAAGTGTTGTCAAAATGATTTCTATGGTTATATTATAAAAGATATATGATTTTGAAAAGGAAAATACAGAGAGAGAAAAAAAAATGACAAATTGTGATAGAGAGAGTAAAAGAGAATAATAAGTAAATGGGGAATACACAGGGTGAATTTAAGAATATGTCGTTTCTATTTGAAATAAGTATAAAAAACATAGTCGATTGAACGTGAATTGTATGGGATATTGTGAGTCGGGTTGATTGGCATCTATAGGACCGCACAATCCGTATAGTTCGGTATAACGTCTATCGAATGCTTCGAAACGGTGTAATTTCACGGTGCCTGTTCAACCATTGTTTGCCGAATACAGATCTAGACGAAGATAGCTCGATTACGTTTCATCGTGATTTATCGGGGTCTCCTTAGTTCAACGTAACTTCGATAGAGTCAGTTTTCGTTTTAAAGGATTGAAACGGATGTGAAACGGGTCTGGTGTATTTAGTTATGGTTATTAACGATGTTAGTTACGTAGACAGAAATTCATCCGATCCTGGTTCAGAAACTGCTAACGTAACATCATGTTACGTTATGTGGCTTTCGAACATCGAACTTTGATTAACCTTATCAAGTAGGCAAGTTCTAATTTTACCATTAACAACCGATGGATTATAATTAAACACGACAATATTACCCCAGGATATATTCTTTATTAATTCCAACATATTTTACCCGTTTTTTCGAGATGTTTTATTATATAATAATATTAACAAAAAAAAATAAAAATAAAAAACGAATTTTGTGCGAGTTGTGAAAAGTACTGATTTATATTGTTTTTATATTTACGTTGCAACGTTTATCCTTTTCGTAATTTAATATTGGATCGAGAAATTTCTTTTCAGATATTGATAAGTAAAATCAAAAAATAGTCACGAATACTATGTTATGATATCCTTTATCGAATGATTAACGATATCCTACGAATATCGAGATTTGATTAGTTTTTCTCATGAAAGATTTGAACTTTATCGACTAATGTTAGTTAGATTGAAATCAGTCGCGAAGACGAAGCCCATTCTTCAAAATAAATGCCAATTTTGAAGAAAATTTTTACTAATTTTCATACCGGTATGTTCTAGTAAATGTAAGACGATTTATAAGTTCGCTTTGGTATACAAAAATTTATTTTAATATTCCTCAGACATATTTTTATATAGAAAATATTGATTGATTATTAAAAATTTGACTGAAAAATATATTATCACGAGTACGAGAGGATAAGTAATATTGTGAAATATTGATAAAACATTTGGAAAAATAGTGTCGTGATTTATATACGAAAATATCTTAATTAATCAAATGAAAAATCATTACGTACTTCTATATGATCAACTGAATATCGAGATTCGATTAGTTTTTTTTTCTCTCGAGAAATATTTAACTTTATTATCTCTAAAAAAGAGAAAAAAAAAAGGAAAAGTCTAATTTTAAAATACGAATCTTACAAAATTACATCCGAGATGGAAATGAGAAATTATTCTATCAAATAAAAATAAAATATATAAATTCACGATACGCTAATACATTTCCCAATACATCATATTACGTATGAAAGTTCGATTTAATTTTACTTACAATTAATCGCAAAAATATGAACCCTTTAGAAGCAATTCGTGTGTACTAAAATGCATATATGCACTTATCAATTTTTTTTCTACATTCCTTGATTCGTACATTTTTTTCTTTTATTCTTATGCCAAATAAAAATAGCATTGACAGAAAAATCATGAAGTTTTCATTTCGTTGCAATAATTAGACACTTTTGGTATTTAAAAAGGGTTTAAACATTAAATAATAATTTAATCACAAACAATTGACACACACACACACGTGTATCTAAAATAAAGAAATAAAATTGTCACGAATGTTCCATATCAAAGTACCTTGAAACAAGTAAAAGTGTAAAGGTGTTAAAATAAAAAGAAAAAAAAAAGGAATAAATATAAAAACGAGGGGGTAGGAAAAAGAAAAAAGAAAAAAAGAGAGAAAAAAATATATGAAAGTGTCGAGATTTCAGTCTCGGAAGCTTTTACGCGTTTTTCCCGTTTTCTCGGTGAGCCAAGCAACGCACAAAAACAGAAAAAGAAAGAAAGCAATAAATGTACTCTCGTCTTTCCTCTTAGTCGTCATCGTCGTCATGGTCGTCATGGTCGTCATCATCGTCGTCGTTGTCGTCGTTGGCAGCAACACGTGGAAACCGGTTTCTGCTTTTATCGGTGTATCGCCTACGGACCGGGTGGGTGCCGTGTAGACGATCGAAATCCGGTATAGTATTATACTCTCTCAAGTTATGTACATGACACAACATATATATATTCACATACATAGAGAGAGAGAGAGAGAGAGTGTCCACGAGTTCGATGTATCTCATGCAGGACGGAATTCGAAGTGTAATAAGGCGTAGCCTTTAGAAGAGAGTACGTAAAACAAACATGATGTTTGTTAACGAATAAAAAGAAAAAAAGGATTCACGTATATCTCGAATATTAATCATAAGTTATTATTTGCGAATTTTTCAGAGAATTTTATTTCAAATTAAAGTTTTCCACATCATATCTAATACTCGTATGTTTCTTTTTGGTAAGAGGTTTTTAATAATACTAATTCGAATACACGTATTTTAAAGTAATTTAATATTTAAATATTTGAACGTAAAGATCAATTGAAAGTATTTTTAACGAGTATCATAAATAATTATAATTGACGGGTCGAATATTTATATCAGATCTATAAACGTGGATGATATTATAAGTAAATTCTATTTATATTATTCTTTTTATTAAAGTGGACGGTATTATATATGTTTATAAATAAAATATATATATATTAACCTATGCATTTTTATTTATAGAATATATAGAATATTTAAATAAGATTTATAAAAAATATCTATATTATAAATCATTTTCTATAGAGATTAGTTTGAATTAATTCATGACGTATATTAATTGATTGATATGCAATTTACTGTTTGTTATATACTTTTGTTATATAAGTTTACAATTAATATATTTATATATTAAATTTATCTATATAATACTATATCTAAATAAAGAATGAATTAAATGTTGAAACAATACAATGAATTATTAAATATATATAAATGTATTGTGCATAAGTAAACACACACACGTTTCTATCGTTAATCCTTTATTCGAAACGAGCTTCTGGATTTTCCTTTTCACGTGCCCCACCCATCTATTTACCATCCCTTCTTTTATATCTTTCCCTATATACATATTTGTTTCTCTTTCTCTTTCCATTTCCATGGGTTGAACTGGCACCATGAAGAACGCACCACCATCTCGTCTTATCTTCGTCATGCGGTGCACAACCTGCGAGAAACGCGTGAAATGTCTTTTCATATCAATATGCACGCCTGGTGTCCTTGAGTCTGATGCCTTTTATAAACCTTAAAGGCTTCTCTGTCTCTTTCTTTCTTTCTATATATCTTTTAGAAAGAGAACACAGACAAAAAGAATGAAAAAACGAAGAATTCGAAGGGACACCAACTACAAACCCAAGATTCATCTTTGGCGTTATGCAAATAATGAATAGCCTATCTTGGATTTGCGAGAGAGAATGATCTTATCCTTTCATTTCAAACGTCATGGGGAAGAGTTAAAAAGCAAATGAATGAACAAAAAGTTCATAACGTTTGACATATCCTGCTTTGTAAAACAAAAAATCATATACACGCATCGAACTCTTAAACGGAATATCGTTAAATGTACATTCAATTGAATCATTTCATTTTTTTTCTTAATATGTTGAATATATTAATAATAATTATTTAATATTATATTTATCATTATATATTATACGTATCAATATTAATTTTTATTTACTAAAACGTTTTTTATTTATGTTGAATATTAATATATATAATCAAGTTTTTATTGCACAACTTAGACAGTTTTTTACAATGTCTTATCATTACTTTACTTATATTTATCTCACATTTTTGGTTTATACTCTACTCACCCCCCTTCTCCACCAATATTTAAATAACATTTAATATTATTCAATTAATTGTTTCTCTCGTCTCTCTCCAAAAATAAAATTATTAATAAATAAGTATCGTAAGGAATTTGGACATTAAAAAAAACTAGAACTTCGTTTTAATTAATTGGACTCAAACAGTTTGAGTGTTCAAATATAACGGATCAAAAGATAACGAAGTTTAGATATATAGTGTTTTGAATATTACAAAAATTTATGTCTGCTTAAATAAAAAAGACGCTGAACTTTAGAGATTAAGTTGCTGAATAAGTCCCAATAAAGAGACGAAACGTCCAATTAATCAAAACGAAGTTCTAGTTCTTTTCAATGTCCAAATTCCCTAAGATACTAGGTATATATTTTTATATATATATATTTTTAGGATATATATATCTTTTAGGATATTTCCTAAAGATATTTATTAATTTAATATTATATTTATCATAATATAATTTTAGAATAAGAAGTAACTAAACACGTAAGATATAAGAGAAGAAAAAAAAAATAAAATAAAATAAAAGAAAAAAATCTTAAACACTCGAGTTGTCTGAAACCATCCCCATCACCCCCACTACCACTACCACCCACATAGCTGCGATACGACAAAAAGGAGAGAAGAAAATATTATTGTTGGTCGTGGCCTAAGTTATTCTCTCTCTCTCTCTCTCTCTCTCTCTTTCTCTCTCTTTTTTTTTCTTTCTGGTCTTTGGACAGAACTTGAGACGGTAAGGCCTACCTAATCGCGCGAATCGCTGCCACTAATGGACCAACATTGCTTACGCGTGTCACGTGATTTTCCCGTGGTTACACCCACACACACGTTGCGACGTGTGTTTAGTCATTGCTGATGCGTACCGCGTATCCTTTGTCTCGTTTCTCCACCCAACCTCCTCCCCAACCCTCACTCCGCCCCTCCTATTACCACTGCCCATTCTACTCCATTTTCTTTTTTTTTTTTTTCCTTTTTTTTTTTAATACTTTCCTTCCACTCGAATCAATTTTCCTAACGAGAGAGAAAGAGAGAGATTATTTCATTATTATTATTATTATTTTGATTATTAGTTTCTGAAGGATGTGTGTGCAATTGTTCGTACGTTAATTAATATTTAGCGTGTTCTCCTACGGTTTTTTTTTGTTTTTGTGTTTAAATTTATTATTATTATTATTATTATTATTTCGAAGTAACGGAAGCAAGCAACAATAGAAAAACGCTATTATTATCGTTATTGCTAATACCTGCGGGCGTTATTTTGTTATCGGTATTATTATTGCAACGTCTCTCGCAAAATAATTCGTTCGTAACAGAGAGAAAGAATCGGTCAGTAATTTAACTCTTTTTTTTTTAATTTCTTTCCCTTCTTTTTTTTAACAAACACCTTTCTTATTTTCCTTCAATAATTACATATCGATGTTAAATGTTCATATCATCGGATATTTTATACGCGTTAATACAACAAAGTGTATTTATATTTTACCTTAGTAATCATAAATTTGTAAAAATGAATAAGTACGGATAACGAGAACAATAAAAACAATAACAACAACAAGAACAATAATAATAATAGCGATGAAAATAATGATAATGATGAAAAAAATAAATTTGAAAAAGAGAAAAAAAAAAGTAAATGTGATTTGCTTACCAGCTACCGTGAGGGTGGCATTTCTGCTAGGTACAGAACCAGCTTGATTCTTTGCGACGCACCAATAAACACCACCGTCCTGTTCCTTCTTCCCGTTCATAACACGAAGAAAGAATAGGGATCCCGTGGGAAGGAGCACCCGGTGGGACTTGGCGTCCCCTGGTGACGTCTGCACGAGCTCACCATCCTTATACCATTCTATCACGGGATCCGGTTTACCCTCGGCCTTGCAGTTCAACGTCACCGGCTCGTGCTTTGCCACGATTATGTCCGATGGATGTTCCGTTATCCGTGGCGATCGTAGTTGCCCTGAGACAAAACATTCAAAAAGGTTCTTTTGTAAGTGACCAAAACGTGTGAAAACTCCCAACCCTTATATTATATAGATTTTTAATGTTTTTTTTTCATTTACTATATATCTCTCGTATTAGAATACAGTAATTTGAAACAAATCAAAATTTAAAGCATATGGTTCATTTTATATATATTATAGTGAAAGATAGATATATTGGAGAGTGTCAGGATTCAAATGATCGTTTGGTAATATCCGAAATATTATTTAGAAAATATTTAAATAACCTCTCCTTTAAAATATATAATATATAATATATATTAACTATATAATGTCTAATATATCTAATATATATTATTATATCTTATATATAATATCTTATAGTTATATAATATCATATATAACTATATAATATCTTATATATCTAACACATATTTAAAAATATAAAAAATATATATTAACTATATAAAATATTTAATATAAAAATATTATGTTTAAACCCTTCAGTTTCATCCTACGATTAATTTTACAAATCAATCAAATTATATATATATCTAAAATATTTCTATTATAATTTAAACAAATAAATCTATATTTAAGTAACCTCTTACTACACTAGAACACCCTATAGGTATACAGATAAATTACCTTTAAACCCTTCGTTTTCATTCTATGATCATACTTTTCTAACTTTGAAATTAAATGACGTGTAACTACGCATCATCGAAGTATTTCCGGGCACGCGAAATCTCATTCGTTACAGATCGATCGTCTACCGATTGACGCTTTTATTTCACGCCGGTTTGCCCGGATTCGATATGGAAATTACCATGAAATCGATACATTTTATAGCCCCGTGATTTCCGGCTACTCGTATAAGAATAAACACGCACGCCGCCATCGTGGCTTTTGTTTTTCTTTTTTTTTTTTAACCTAATTTTTAAATATGTTTCTTCCATCGGTTTTGCATTGTTATTCCAATGATTTTTATTATCGGGTCATTAGGTTCGATTGCATCCCAATAAAAATCGTTCCCATTTTTTCAATAAAATGATCACAATATAAATGATCGAAAAAACTTTAAAGAGAGTCCATATTTGGAATCAATTGCAATTAATTTGTTTTGATTTTTTGTATTTTTCTTTTTGTTTTTTTTTTACATCACGTACATGCATCTATCTATCATACATTAATTAACGTTTCTTCGAAAATCACATATAAAATATATATATACAATACGGCCAATTAGTGGTAAAATAGTATTCGTGTTATTGGTGTATACGTAACATCGAACTACAAGGAGATAATCCCAGCTTCAATTAAACTCGTAGGATCATTCTAATAATTTAATATTCATATATTTTATAAAAGAGTAAACTTGGATTTGTGTACGGTGCTTACTGATTCATTATTTTAACAAATTACGAAACGCGAAATACATTAAGATATTAATTTAAAACAAAAAAGAAAGTATATAAAAATATATAAGAAATAATAATATAATAATATAT